GTCTCAGGATACACCTAATTTCTTACAAATGACTCAAATTTATCCTTTATAGCAGAGTAGTACTCCATTGTTTATCTAATGCAGAAGTTTTACTTTTAGGCCTTCAAGACTTAAGAATTTTCATAGGCCCTTATTTTGTTCCTACTTACCCAGAAACAGGCAGATCCACAACCCCTCCCAATGAGTGATACTTTATATAATCACAATGTAAGCCACCACAAAATATATATGTACCTCCTGTTAGCTTTAGTATTCACAATATGTATTCTGTTATGTCCTCTCTGTTAACATTAAAAATATATCCTGTTAGGCTCAAAGTTCAAATTGTGTATCTTGATATGTCCACTCTGTTAGCCTTGAAAATGTATCCGGTTAGCCTCAACGTTCATAATGTGTATCCTGCTGTGTTATGCTATGTGAATATCCCATTCCTAAAGAAAGCCCCAACCTCAAGACAGTTATGTTTTCGCTCATCCTAAGCCCACCCCAACTTAAAGTATTGTATAAAACTCCCCCATTTTTTTTTTATTTTGGGGCCCAGGTCTTTACGGAATTACCTAGCCTACTCACTGGGCCAGGTGGTCAAATAAAGCTTTCCTCCATCTCTTTTGAGTGGGTTTGTCTTTCCCAGTCCAGATTTCCTATAGCATATCTATACCATATTTTATTAACCCATTCATTTTTTTGATTGGCATTTGTATCGATTCCATGATCTAGCTATTGTGAGTTGTGTGGCTATAAATATTGATATGCATATATCATCGTATTATTACTTTTGACATTTCTTTTTTCAGAAAGATAGAAGAATTATAGCTGGGTCAAATGGAATGCTCTGAGTCCCAGGTTCAGTTGGCCCCTCCTTATAATGGCATCTGACCAAACATCTCTCCAGAGAATATGGCAGATGCTTGAACTGGAGTCACCAGCTGTTGTAGTGTACAGCATCCACTGCTCTGTTCCATTGGTGCATTTCTCCTTGAAGGCCTCTGGGGGCCCCTGCTTTCACTGTGTCTCTGTAGATTCGATCTTCCTTTCTCTCGCCACAAGCCAGGAGCCAGGGAGCAAATGCAGATTGCCCCTTCCTTTTTCTGCATGTGGTCTCTCTCTTCAATTTCTTTGTAGGCTCCAATTTTCCCTTCAGATCCTTCCTAGGTCCCAGGGATCTACCTCTCTCCTTTACCTACCCAACTTGTTATTTTCCAGTGTCTGAATTCTGAATCTTTGAGAGGCTGATCTATTGCTACTTAGCACTCTGCCATCTTCCCTAAAGTCCATCAAGTATTTATGTAATCAAAGTAGATTATAAAACAATATGAACATTTTTAGAATGGAAGGTCAGCATGGTATCTCTTAATATTTCATCAGTGATGATGGAATTGAAGTAACCAGCACTCACTTTCTCTTCCACACAGATGAATCAAAGAAACAAGTATATAGCTAGATTTTGAGGCAAATGACCATGGGAGAATACTGGAAATCCACAAAACAGACTATAATCTCATAAGACTCAGAGACCTGGGACATACCATAAAGAAAAATACCTAGCATCTGCCACTCTGTCTCCACAGCCAGAGGAGGGAAAATCTCCCCTTTGCTGAGGTAAGGGGGAAAGAGAGTTCCAGAAAACTTATCTGTACAGATTCTGGCAATACTAGCTACTGGAAAGTTACCCAAATCTCAGAGGCTTGCAGCCCACTTAGATAAGTAAGCTGCATTATACATAGTAGCCTTGTTTTGGATAAAGGATCTCACATCATCACCTGAGAAACACCCAGGTTGCTAAAGTCTAGAGCTCATGTTGAAAAAACAGCACTATCTGAGTTTGGACTGCTCTACATATGAGGAACTCTTGAATATTTCCATCTCTAGGACTCCAGACATTTCACTGCACTGATTTAGTATGGTAGCAGCCTTGGGAACACAACTTGGTCTAGTATAATGACTGTGAATAGAACATACAGCATGCCTTGCATGATAAAGTATGGGTACTGCAACACAGAGGGAAACAGAGGATGCATCCTTTAAGAACCAAGAGATCTTTCCTCTGAGACCAAGAGTGTGATCAGCCATGTGTGGACTCATACCAGTGCCAGGACTGAAGGCAGACACCCATGCACAAATTTTGCCACCCTCCTGAATACCCTCATATTGTGCTCAGGGTTCTGTTACTAACAGGGTAGGAAAGAAACGCTATGGTTCCCATCGTTGCCTTGAACACGGGGATATTCTGAGGGGGTCTTGAGCAATTGCATAGTTCTGGCTATTGCTTAGTATCTGGTGCATGCCATAGCTGAAGCAGTCTGGCTCTAACTATTGCCCTGACCTTGGGTATGAATGGCAATGACAGCTGAAAGTAACTTTGCTTTGTGTCAGTAACAGTTCCATTCCTAGATATGTACCTACCACCAGCATCAGAGAGGAACCCCTCCAATCCCTGCTGTCTTTCCACCTAAGCAGTTACGAAGGCCACTCACTCCCTACTCCAAATCTGACCACGCATTGCTGTCACAACTTAATGTGAGTACCTCAGAGTACTGTGCTTCCCAGCACTGCTTCTCTCTGTGTAGTATCTGGGACCACACCACTGACTAGTCACAAGCAAGTTGTTTCAGGTTCCTCGTCACTCCTGGTGAGTTCCCTTGCTATTATCAGAGCTAGTGCCTGAGGATACCTCTATTGCTCAACAGAGGATATCACTCCCGTTGTAGAAGTAGCAACACAGTGAGCTTGAGCTCCACATACCTACTGCTGTCTGAACCATACTGGCCTGAATTGCTAGAATGTCAAGACTCTTGTGTAGCCCCACAGAGACAGCAGCTCTCTCTGACTCCACCACAGTACACATTGTGCTCAAAATAATTAGTCATAGGCAAAGAAGCTTGAGAATACAGTATCATGCCCAGCCAGAAATACCCAACATTGCATAACCAATCCACACTTCAAACACATTGTCAGGAGAAAGCCACTTATTAAAGCCACCCCACTAAATTGGTAGAGATACCTGATCTACAAAGTGGAAAAATATTAATATAGAACAAAAAATAGGAAAAGATAATATGGTGCCTCAAAATTAACATAAAACTATCTAGCAACAGATTCCAATGAAATTAATATTGATTAAACTGCCTGATAAGGAATGTAAAAGTGATTATTAAAAAACCTCAAATAAATCTAGAAGAGTACATATAATCAGTTAAATGAAGTTAGGAAAACAATTCAAGATATAATGGGCAAATGCAGCAAAAGGATAGATTTTGAAAAAAGCAAATAGAAATCTTAGAAATGAAGAGTTCAGTAAATAAAAACAAACAAACAAAAAAGACTAAATCAAGAACAAGACAGAATATCCGAACTTGAAGCCAAAAAGAAAAAAGGAAAAAAAACTCAGAAAAGAGATCATTCATGGCCTTTACAGCCACTAAGGACTGAATATCCACAGTTTTGAAATACCCAAATATGAGGAGATGAAAGTTAATGGCATGGAAAACCTATTCACTAAAATTATAGCAGAAATTTCCCTAATCTTGGGAAACATGTGGACATTCATGAAAAGGAGCCATTTAGGAGTCAAAATAGTCAGGACCAAAAGATTTTCATCCCAGCACATTACAGTCAAACTGTCAAAGCACAAGACAAAAACATTCTAAAATCTGCAAGAGAAAAGCATTATTCCTCTCAAATATGACTGCAGATCTCAGCAGAAATTCTACACAGGAGGGAACGCAGTGATGTATTCTAAGCCTTGTGACAAAAGAATGGCCAGGCAAGAATACTATATTTCAGAAATGAAGGACTCGGGCCGGGGATTAAGCTCAGTATCACCACGCCTGCCTCACACGTGCAAGGTCCTGAGTTCAATCCTCAGTACCAAAAAAAGAAAAAGAAAGGAAAAGAATGAAGCAGCGATGAAGGAGCAATAAAGTCCTTCCAAGGTGAGCAAAAACTGAGGGAATGCATGACCAGACCAGCCTTACAAAAGATGCTTAAGGGGGTGCTCGCTTCAGCAGCACATATAGAAAAGATGCTTAAGGGAGTTTACATCCAGAAGTGAAAGAAAGATAGCTACTGTTATAATAAAATTTCATTAAAAATTATTAAGCAGCTCATTCTATGGTTCACCCCGAGTTATCCCATCTGAGCAAAATTATCCCATTTAAACTTGCACTTCATGGGACTTCTCATAAAATGCAAACGGTTACAATCTGGTGACAAATAATCCTGCATCATAAATAATAACAATGAGGGGGGAAAAAAGACTTCCATTTCAGGTGCCTCAGGACCGCATCCTTAACTCTTCGCTCTGGAAATTGTGGCTAAGGCTTATTTCTCCTGCAGAACCGGTAGGAATTTTCAAAAGTAGCTCCGAGCTAACTTTAAAACACACATACACATACTCTAATACATACACGTTTCAACACATTTGATAGCCAACCGCTCGTCAAAACCAGAGGTAGAGTACAAAGGAAAGCAAGAACAACCACAGGTCTTGCTTTTGTGAGGCCCGGGGATTTGAGGAAAGAAGGTATGAAACAAACGAAAAATAAATGTACACAGACCTACCCACAGCATGAAGGAGTGGAAAAGAGGCTTTTCTGAGGTAAGGAATGCCCCACTGACAACCAGGCCAAAGACGAGAAATGCTTTTCCAGGAGAGGTAGCGACATCTTTCAGGGTAACATTACTAGTTAATATTAGTCCTCTGTTCTCATATTTCACTTGGACACTTCCAAACAGGAAGACAACAAAAATGAATCAATCCAGGGAGAGAAGGTAGTCTTTGACTTTCATTTTAAGAGCCAGAGCCTGCTACCTGAGACTTCCGGAGAGGTTGCGGAAGACCGGAAGTCCAGGCCAGGTCAACTCACTCTGAGCTCTCCGGAG